GAGTATTAGTCATAATTTTAAGTTTTACAAGGTTTATCCCTTAAATTTTATACAAGAAACCCTCCAGGCATTATGGGAGTAAAGGGCCAAGAAACATAGGAAAGCCAACAGTTTGGGTTTGTTAACTCCACAGAGTATTAAAAATCGCCTGTTAAAAGTAGCACTTGATAAAAGCCAGGTAATGGGTATTGATGTGTACACACTGTTCTGGCATTATGAAGGCAAATATGAGATTTAGATATATCTAGACTCTTCCATGTATATGACTGGTTGCGTCAAGGAAAATTAAAAATAAAAAATCTGGGCATTTTGCTCCACACTGATTAGTATGTTTTTCTTTTTCTGATGGAAAATGTGGAGATAAACCAGAAGAGGGTTTAAAAAAAGAGCACAATAAAGTGGATCAATTGACAATTATTTAGTTAAATTGCTTCAAGCTCTTATGGGAACACAGTGTTACTAATTTAAAGTTGGTTTATCTTAACATCATCAGTGACAGCAGCACAAGGTACAGATCAACACTATGGTGATATATAGAGGCGCACAGAAGTGAACAATCCTGTAGGCTTTCACCCTCCTTTAATTACATAGCTTAGGAAAAAACATTTTGCCCTTGGAAAAAAAATGTAGTTCACATTATGTGTGGAACAGAGCTAATAATAAACCAGTCTGACAACACGTCGGCTCTTCTCCGTCACGTAATCGCCCGTTTTCTCCACCTCTTGCAGGGCACCACCCTGATGACCAGCCTGACTTCGATAATGTTTGACAAAAACGTGTGGGAGACACCAGACACCTTTAATCCAGAACATTTCCTGGAAAACGGCCAGTACAGGAGGCGGGAGGCTTTCCTGCCCTTCTCTGCAGGTAGGATGATGGATGGGGAGATGTTTTTCCTCTTTGCAATGCGTTTTTTTTTCCCCCAAGACACCCCCGCCAGAGCAGGGGGTACCGTTCCTTGTCTGTCTTTCAGCCCATCCCCACAGTGAAAATTCCAGTAACAGTTAATACTGACTGCTCAGAGCAGGAGTGAAAACAATTTGTTATCATGGGATGAAAAAAATAAGGCTCTTTGCTCTTGCGCAAGCTGCAGAAATGTTTTTCTTCACTGAGTTTCCCCTTTTCCTCTA